GTCAATAAATTCTATTCTCTTTATGAAGAGACTATAAAAGGAATTCATCCAGCTGTGAAGACTCCTCTAGAAATATGTTTTTAGTTTCCCTTTGAAGCTCATTTGGGCAGAAAGAGTGAGCCAGGGGCCCTAAGTAGTTGAGTAAGGTAACCAAAATTCATGTGCAAGATTCCATTTCATTTACAAATAAATCTGTCACTTGTCCACTTCTTGGATTACACATTTTATTATGTATATAAATATCCTTATCTCAAAATGGAAAGCAAAAAGTATGTTGTATAATTTTATCTCATATCACTTAGTTTTTTTTTATTCTATTTTACTGACCCTGCCTAAAGGACAGTATGTTTCTGATATAAAAGTCACCACTCAAGATTAATGCCTATAGATAATAACTGCTACCCTAAGGTGAGTGCTCCCTATGTACAAGATACCTTTCCAGCAACCATTGGACATAGTTCGTTCCTACATCTTCCCCTTACTGTGTGTGCAAGTTATCCATGCCTTAGATTTTCATCTGTAATATGATTACAAAAAGATTCATCTCATGGACCTGTCATGAAAATCAGCAGTCATGTCCCATCTCCCCATTTCCCCTTTCCCTGCCTCAGTTACTGCTTATCTACTTTCTGTCCCTATAGATTTGCCTATTCTTTTCATTTGAGTCAATTTTTATAAATGGTGTGAGGTAAGGCTTCATAGTTTTGCATTAAGCTCTCTACTTGTTCCATCACTATTTGTTGAAAAAAACTGTTCCTTCCTCATTGAATGATTTTGGGACCCTTGTTGAAAATCACTTGACCATAGCTACATGGGTTCATTCTGGATTCTCAATTCTATTCCACTGAACTATCTATTCTTACTCTGGTGCCCCTTTGTCTTGATTCCCGCAGCTTTGCATTAAGTGCTCTCAGGAAGTGTAAGTCCTCCAACTTTGTTGTTTTTTAAGATTGTTTTGACGATTCTGAGTCTCAGGAGGATAGTTTTTTAACCTTACTCTAGCTGGGGGAGTTTTCCAAAAGGAAGAGAGAGAAAACTGTCCTGGGTGGGGTGTGGGGGTGGTGGAGACTTCTGAGTGATTGGACTGTCTTTTCTCACAATCTCAGCATGGAGTATATCTCTTGTAGCTAAAGTGGCAGAAGGCATTTAGTAATACATTAATACTTAAGACATATTATCTCTCTGGTATTTTCCATATTACATACTTTTGTGCAGTAGCAAATATGAACAAAGATAAAGCAATAGAATTTTTTTAAAAAGATGTTATTTATTTGACAGAGAGAGAGAGAGAGCATGAGCACAGACAGGGAGAGCTGCAGGCAGAGGGAAAAGCAGGGTCCCCACGAAGCAGAGTGCCTGACATGGGGCCCCATTCCAGGGCCCTGGGATCATGATCTGAGCCAAAGGCAGACACCCCGCCCACTGAGCCACAGAGGCGCTCCAAAGCAGTAGAATTATTAGCACTGGTTAGCAGTGATGCTCCAGGCTGAATCCTTCTGTTGACAAAGAGGCCTGCTGTTGGCATTAAAGAGGCACTTGAGAGAACACAGGCCCTGGCAGTTTGGGCAATCTCTGCTCTCAGAAAACTCTTCCGGGGACCCCAGCCCCTAGGAGTTACTAAAGCCCAGAGGTCACTCTGAGAGGTCATGCTGAGTAACTCATGTCACTGTCAGCCTTGTTTCTTTTTAAGTAATGGGAGCTTATTTTTCCTGACCTTCATTCCACAAATACTTGAGGATTTGGAGTTAAATTTAGTAAGGTTTAACATTTTGATTTTATGCACTTCCCGCTCTAGTCTTTTGTCACCTCTCTATTTTTATTCTCTGTATTTATCCTTTAGCTTAGTTTGACTTTATTTTTACTTTTCACCCTATCTATTCTTGACTTTACAGTGTATATTTTACCCTTCTTTATATCCTTTTTATTTAGCTCAAATATTTATCCTTAATCCTTGTTTCTTTAATTTTTTAGTTATATCCCTTTTACTGTTTCCTTTTTATTTTATTTTATTGTTGATTTTTGAGAGAGAGAGAGAGAGCAGATGGTAGGGAGGGGCAGAGGGAGAGGGAAAGAGAGAATCCTAAGCAGGCTACACGCCCAGCACAGAGCCCAACACAGGGCTCCATCTCATGACCCTGAGTTCATGACCTGAGCTGAAATCTAGAGTTGGACACTTAACCGAGTGAGCCACCCAGGCACCCCTCCTTTTTATTTGTTTAACCAAATCTATTACTTTATTTTTCTGAGTTATTCTTGGCTCAGTCCTGGTTTAAAAAAGGGGGGGGGGGCTTACTTTTGTAAGGAACCGTATAATGTTTAACCCTCCCCTAAGTCCCTATGGAATAAGGCAAATTCATTCTTCACAAGCCTACTTCTATATATTTTTAATTGGATTTGTGTTCATTTTTCATGAAATTACTAAAAGATCCTTTCATTCTTACATTCTGTGGGTTTAGTGAATTTTCTTTTCTCTCCTCCCTTTGTGTTCCTTTCAGAGTCAGGAAGTTCCTAAAGAGTCATTTGATTTCTTTAAATACAGGAATACATAAACCTCAAATGCCTTTAGGGGCCAAGCTGGCAATAAACAGGAATGAAGCAAGCTGAATATAAGAAAAAGTCACCTAAGGAGGGGCGCCTGGGTGACTCAGTCGGTTAAGCGTCTACCTTCAGCTCAGGTCGGGATCCTGGGGTCCTGAGATCCAGCCCTATATCCCATCTCCCTGCTCAGTGCAGAGCCTACTTTTCCCCTCTCCCTCTGCCATACCCCCTGCTTGTGCACTCTCTCAAGTAAATAAAATCCTTAAAAAGAAGAAGAGAAAGTCAGCTGGGGAAAGAGAATTAAATTTGCCTTATTTTTACATGATTGTGGCTTAAGCACATAATCTCATACACATTTATATAATATTAGAAGATTTATTTTGAAGATGAAATGGAATACAAATAAAAAATATAAATATTGAATTTTCCTGAATACTTTCATAGGTTTTCTTACACAACATATACACATAGAAAGTGTTTTTCCTTTATTTAGCTGACATGACTGATCAGGTGTTCGTTGGAAGCCTCCAGCCTCTGAGTTTCAGCAGAGGAAGAAAGGTTTACTATTGAATCCATTTCAAACCTTAGACCAATCCAGTGACATAAAGTATTTTAAATATCAAACTTTTGAGAGAAATGCTCACATCTTGTATTTCCTGCTCTCTATCCTGTTCTCATTCAAAATGGTGAAGAGCGCTGGGGGCAGAGGGATACATGTGATTTTGCACCAGAAGAGATCATATGACATTTATTCTCCTCTCATCATGTGGGCTTATGGCTGCTGAAGCATAGTTGGCTGGTACTGTCCTGGGCTGCTTCTAGCCTCTGCTGCTGATTTACATGGGCTTTTCTCCACTGTCTCATGCTAACCAGGCCTGCCTTTAGTGATTGGTTGGCTATAGACATGACTCTCCTCCAGGTCCTCCATTGGTCTCATAGTCAGTAGCTCTCCCTTCTGTTCTGCTGTGAATGACTGCTCCTACAAATGGCAGACATGATGACAAGCCCACTGGCTCTCAGCCTGGAGCCAAGATAGGGTTGGTGTCTAAATGAGAGCTGCTCTCTTCATGGCCACGCACAACAGCTTTCTTGGCTATGCTGGTTCACCTATACTGGCCCAGAGCTTCTACCCAAGAGTCCCTTCCAGAATCTCCAACTGTGAGCAGGGAAAGCCACTCTCCCTTCGATTTATCTGACTCTGCCCATTCTCTACACCAAGGCCCAAAGATGGACAATCACAACACACTTCTATTCCTTCTGATTCTTTCTTTCTGTCCTTTCCCACAACCCCAGAAATAGAATGGTCGGGTGTCGACCGACCACCGCCACCCCTTGTGGTGCTCTAGCCTCCCCACCTGGCCATCCCAGCGGGAGTCTCTTCTCTACATTAACTCTACAATCTCAGTTTGCAAGACTTAGAAAAATGTTAGCCCTTTCTCTCTCCCCGTTAACTGGATTTCAAGAATATCATCTCACTGTAAATCTCAAAGAATGTCAAAAAAGGAGTATTACCTTATTCTTGCTCTCACATCGCTTCTGTAACAGATCCAAATCTCCTCCAAAGCTAAGCAGGAAAATGGTCACATACTTGGAAAGGCACAATTATACTTTTCTCTAAATATCATCACTGTTACATTTTCCTTCTTTAATTGGTTGCTTCTTTGATTTGGAACTAAAATATCATGCATTTTCTTCTTCACTAATCTGTCACTGCCAGGCTTGTATTTTTTGTTATAGTTTGCAATGCAGAATTTAGTCTTGAATCATTTAGGTGAGAGAGATAATTATTTTTATTCACAATGACATCAGCTGATCACAAATGTAGGTACTTTGAAATATGGGTACGATATTTGCACCATGGTTTTTATACCTAGACTAGCCATTCTTAGGCTATTTGTAAAATTCTGCTCTTCTGAAATCACTTGATTTTTTTTTTTTTTTGCTCTTGCTTAACTGCATTTGGTAACTTTCCTTTGTAGCAATTTTCTACAATATCAATACTCAGATGATAAAAAAGAATCATCCTAGCTCGTTTTCATAAATTTAAAGTCAGAGAACTTTTTGAAATTTAGTTCTTAGCTTCACAATTATACTTCATACCATGATTTCTATTTTTGCAAACTGACTTCAGTGTAGCAAAGTGGGTCAGATTATTTTCCACCAGTTGAATTTCCTCGATACAATTTCACTAAAAATGAGTAGATTTCATGTGATATGTTTATGTCACCACATATGGATGCCCATGCAAGGTTATATTCACTATGATGAATTGAAATGTCAGGCAAATGACCAAGTTTTTGATCTGATCTTGTCAGGTATCTAAGGTAGGGATTTTTTTTTTTTTTCATGGCATAAAACAAACTGGTTGCTTTGTTTTGTTTTCACATTTTAAGCAATCTCTTCAACATTTTGCAGAACTAAGTCCTTCAATTGCTGCTACCACATTGTGTAACAATTTACTGAGCAGAGCATAGAACTGTCTGGGTATTAAGGAACTGGGCCATATTTAGTTCATAGCAATACATCCATAATGTTTTAAATGATAATTGGCCCAAGTTAATTCTTTAATAAACTGTAATTGCCACATTTTGTTTTGAGGCTTCACTTTTTAACTAGCCCTTTCACTGATTTTAATTTCACTGAAATTTAGTTTAAAGAAAACTTCAGGCTTAGTAAGAGAAAGTACACAACGCATTCTACCAATTAGTATTTGTAGCTGACATCCAGGTGCCCGGATGGAGTAGAGAATGTAAGTGGACGCCTTCACTTGTGTGCACCACATACACAGACACTGTGGACTTTGGGGTAGCATCCCTGGCACCTTTGCTTCCGTATGATGCTGAAACACATGAAACAAATCAAGTAAGGGGATATTTGCATCTTTGCTGACTCACTTGACATAAACAAGCAACCAGCCCCCAAAGGTGAATGCAAATGAAGAGTGAGGAGATAGAGAATGTGGGAGGGAATCAACTGGAAAGATATTTTTCCAATTCGTGATAAGACCTTGAGCCCTGAAGAAGCATCCACAGGGAGAGAGAGAACATTTAGTACCGATATACGAATGCATAATGATAGCCACACAAAGGTGTGTAAAACTTACAGGTAATAGGTTAGCATTCTACATATTAATCCACAGCTCCTAGATCAAGTTATAGAACATTCCAGCATCCTACAAGATTCCTTGCTGCAATTTCCCAAATTATATCCCATGCTCCCCCAAAATAATCAATATTCTGATTTTCAAAACCACTAATTTTGCTGGATCTTAAAAGCCACATAAATGGAATCATGCAGTATGTATTCTTTGGGGGCTGGTTTCTTTCATGCAATATCCATGAGAGTAATCTATGTAGGGTAACAATTTGAAATATTATCAGAAACACTTTTTATTCTTGGCAATTTGTATTGCTCCCTTAGTCTCTTCAGAGGGGTGAGCAGAACCCAGCTACCAAAAAAGGAAACACTGTTTGACTTTTAGTTCCACACTAGGGATTGATACCATTTTAGAGATAAATAGTTATGAAAACCAATGTTTTCATTAGCAAGTGCTAAGTTTTATTGGGAGAAGAAAGGAATTTTATGTTCAGTTGAGCCAAAGCTATAGGATTAGATAGAGTTCATTTAAAAGTTAACTAGACACTAAGGAAATATTAAAATAAGATATGTAAGGACACTTTCTGAAATACAAGAAAGGCTTCTTTCCAAAAATACATACCAATTCTGTTTGAGGTTAGTGATTCCACTTCTTGCCTGCCGATCCCATGACACGTGGAATTCGAATAGCCCAGGTGGCAGCAATAACTTGTAGTTTACTAGCAACTTTGCTGGGTCCTCTCAAGAGAGTATGCTTCCTGGGGATGAGGACCTCTAACTTGCAGCATCCAGAGTTGCAAGGACCAGTAGCCCAAAATCACCTGGTGCGTTGTTGGGCATGATGGTAAGTGAGGCTACTCCTGCTTCCACCCATTGGTTCTCAGACACAGTGCCACATAGAGGTCTCTGATTCAGTTGACACACTGCACCCTTGATCTCTGCAGAGTACTGCTCCAAACTGTCACTTTAAGCTGTGCTTCCAGTAGGCCATTCTAGAACATTCTACCACTCCAGAAGTTTCGGGATGATACAGTATGTCATATGACTAATGGATCCCATGGTAGTAGGCTCATTTCCTCACCTCCCTCATTGTGAAGTGGGTTGGCTGTTTGAATGCTATGTTGTATAGGTCCCATGCCTTAGATCAGGCACTCTATAAACCCTTGGATAGTGATGCTGCCTGAGGACTCTATGGACAGGAAAGGAAAATTCACACCCCAAATTGACGTCTGTTCCTATCACTGGCCCTTCCAGGATGGAAGGTGTTCGATGTAGTCAGCTTGCCAAGTGGCTGGTTGGTCTCCTTGAAGAATAATGCCATACAGGGAGCTCAGCATTCCTCTCTGTTGCTGACAGGTTGGGCATTCTGAGGTGGCAGTAACTAGAAGAGCCTTAGAGAGTGGAGGTCTATTCCATTGGGACTAGTCATAGCCTCCATCTCTGCAACTGTGACTACTCTATTTGCGCATCTCTTGTGCCCATTCTGTAGTAGACCAAGGACTCACTCACATCAACTGACCAACTTTTAGGGTGAATGCTTTTTGTGGGGTATTAACAAATGATACAAACACCTTCATACTTGAGGCCCACTTTCATTATGTCCATATACCACTACCCCAGAACTTCTTGGCTATGATCTTTTTCTTTATAGCCCATTTGCCACTTCAGGAGTCCATCTGTATTATCATCCTGGGCCATCTCTTCTTCCTCACAAAGCTCAAACGTCTGTCCACCGGGAGGATTATCCTTTGTCACTGACTTCCAAGGCCACCCCTGTCAGATCAACATCACAGTCTAAAAGGCTTTCTCTACCTAACTCCACTTCCTTTTTCTTTTATCTTGCGTGGGATTAATGCCCCCCACCACTCTTCTCAGTAAGCTCCTTTCACTCCTAATGCTGTCTCAGTGTCTGTTTTCCAGAGAACTCAGCTGACATGTTCTCCCTTCAGAGGAGTGGTCTTCAGGGGAACAGAGGAGGAAGAACTGTATGCATGTGTCATATATATATATATATATATATATAATTTTTTTAATATATATATAAAAGAGTGAACAGAAACTGCTTCATGTCAGGGATGGGCAATGATAACTAAGATAGGAGGAAGAATTTAGAATGAGAAGGGGGGAAAGAATATAAGTCTTCTCCTCACCCTTCAGAAGTTTTGGAAAAATTGGTGAGGTTGTCAGATTTCCCAGGTGTACAGGTAGACAGGAACGAAGTCATCTTGTTTGGATGCTAAAAGAAAAGATAACCGCAGAAGAAGGCTGGAGAATTCCTGCTACAGTAGGTGCTAAATGTAGCAATGGATTCAAATGACACCCAGAGGAAGAGCATGAGGAACAGAAGAGAAAACATAACATTGATTAAAATTGCAAAATCGGATTTTGAATCCCATTTCCGGTGGTCTAGTCGTGTAAGCTTGGCTAATTTATTTTGCCCTTCTGAGCCTTAATGTCCTCATCTATAAAATGGGGATAATGAACGGAACTACAGCAGAGGGTTAAGATGAGGTTGAAAGAAAGCAATGTTTATTCAGTCCTTAGCGCAGCACCTGGCCCAGGCTACTGATTCTGTAAATGGTTATTCTTTGATTAAATCCGAAGAAACACCAATATCACACGTGTCACCCCTCAAGGAATAAATGATAGTGCACATTTTTCCCCAGAAGGATTGCAAACATATGGCTGAAACTGTGCCACCCAAATTGTACCATCTTTGCCCTTGCAAACAAATCTACTGTTCGTAAAATAACTTGAGTCTCCCACTCATCCCCCAGGAAAGAGAAAAGATGTTAAAGAAGCAAGACCAGGGCTCTTCATGATTCCCTCACACGTAGATACTCAAGCAGAACTTGGAGTTAGAGGAACTTTCAAAAAGAGGGACATACCCAAGACATTAGGAAGTATGTACTCCTTCAACCCTGTACGTGCCACATGGCAAATTATACATCCCACATACCCCCCCACATCATTATGCCGAACATGTATCATAGCGTCTCATCAGAGCCTATTTAATTATGAGGACAAGCCACAATGAGGAAGTGGAAGGAGCCCCAGGAGAAACTTGTATTCCATCCCAGGACCAGGATTTCTGCTCTGATGTTTCTAATTCTGTACATCAAAACCTTCACATCTTGTCCCCCTTTGCACAGACCAGGGTTTGCATTCCCTGACCATTCGCCTCAGACTGGGAGTGTATCTCATCTCCTCATCCTCCAGGGTTCTTCTCCAGAACTGTCACACTGGTAAGGATCCTCAAAACTGTAGTGTCTACCTGAAGTGTCCCAAAGACTGCCAAGCAGAAGAACTTTTATATTATATGCATTGAAAATTGTTTTGCTTCGTGATTTCTTACCTTAGTACAATCTTAATATATAATAATAATCTTTGAGCTTTTATTATGTGCCAGGAACTGTCCTCAGGTATTTACATGATTTTGAATGTAATTCTCATGTTAACCCTACCTAGTAGTATTTTCATACCCATTTTGCTGATAAATAAACAGAGGCTAAGTTAAGTAACTGGCTGAAGGGCATCTAACCAGGAAGTAAAATGCTCTGCTGCTAGGTAATTCCCTGGAGGAGACTGAACTCCAGGAGAGCCTCCTGGACCTTCCTTATTATACTTTTATGGGAGTCTGCTCAATTCCTTCTATTATTGAAACAGACCCTGAGAATCTGGCTGAACATTAACCTCTTCGAACATGCCTGTATTTCCGCTTCTGAAACAAGTGTATATGCATTTTTAAAATTGTGAAAACATAAAAACATATAAAAAGTAAAATGTAGTAAATTTATCTATAAGAAAGATCCTTGGATCTCTGCAGAAATGCACCATTCTTATTTTTAGAAGTATATAACCTTTGAAAGTCTCATTCTTTAGAACAGCTCATTACAAATTTTAACACACATAGGACATCACTCAGGGATTTAGTTAAGTTTCACTGTCTGACTTGGAACCCTGGCTTTCTGGAACAGACTCCCAGGGGATGCTGACTCTGTGGTCTGGGGACCCCACTTTCAGTTGCACTTCTATGCTGCTACAAACACACGCAATCTTCCACCCACACCAGGAACCTAACCTCTTAGCCCCATTCAGGACACTGGTGTCCTTCTGTATCCCACGTGTGCCCTGTTCCTACTGCTGGATCCAGCCCCCACCCCGCCCAGGCCTGACTTATTCCCTTCATGTCCCTTGTCCTCGCCTTACAGTCCCTACAGACTCTGACAGATGTCAAGGGCTTTTCTTACTCCTTGCACTACATTGAGACTGATGTTCTCTACTCTCAACTGAGTCTCCAAAATTTCTACTCCAAACCTCCTCTGTCCTCAGGCTCCAACTGTTCCTCTCACTCAAATCCCCCTGCAACCTCATCACTCACTTGAGAGAGAGATGTCAGAAGGCATGCAACCTAAGCTGTCTTCTCTCTCCCATCAACCTCTAAAGGACTCTGTAGCTACATGTGCTTGTATGTCCTTTTCTGCATCAGTGGTGTCCCTCCTGCTTTCCATGGCAACCCTCTGTCTGGCCCCATGATCTAATCCATCCCCACCCTCTCTAAAACCCTCCTTCCTCATTTTCCTCCTCTCTTCTCTCTAACATATTCCTGTCCTCAATCTATGACTTACAAACATGCAGTCCTTCAGTAGGAGAAAAATCTTGCCCTTGGTTCTAACCACTCCTCTGAACCCCACCTCCACCTGGATGGCTCTAAACTCATCACATATGAGCACAACGAAACCCCTGACTCCCACACCATACCACACCCCACATCTGCAACTCCTCTAACCTTCCCATAACAGCAAGTGGTTTTACTGGTTATGCAGTCACTCAGGCCAAATACCTAGGAGACATCCTGTTGTGATTCTACCACCAACACACTCCCCAAATCTGACCCCTACTCTCCATTTTCAGCGTTACCTGTCCAGTCTAAGCCACGCTTATCCCTTCCCTAACTTGTTCAGCTTCTTCTCCTGTGTCCATGCTTGAACTCTTGCTTTCTTCTGCAGTCCATTCTTCACAAAGCAGCCAAAGAGAATCTGAAAGTTGTAAATCTGATCGTGTCACTTCCTTGTATAAAATCCACAATGGTGTCTGTCTTCTTGCATGTAGAATAAAATCCAAAGTCCTTCCCTGTGTCTCTTGGATGTCTCCTATCACTTTCCCTGTGATAGGGAAATTCATCAAGCACCAAACACATTGTCTTTTTTGTTCCTTGAATATGCACTCAATCTTGCTTCATGATCTATGAACATTTTCTTTCCATAGATGGAAAAGTGCTTATTTCATGCCTTGTTTTATTTTCATCAAAACACTTTGAAGATCTGAAGTTGTCTTCATTGCTTACAGACTGTCCCTCCAGAATAGAAAGCTCCAGAATACCAGTGATCAAGCTCACCTTATTCACTTAGCAGTGAACAAGCAGGTAGTGGGCTCTAATAAATATGGTCCTGTTGAACAAATAAATGAATGAGTTACCTATTATTCCTGGAAGCTACAAACTGGTTCTCTACTCTATAATTCACTGTAATAAACTTCTAGAATGAACAGTCTGCAACCACTGCTTCCCCCTTTCACACCCTCCCTCCCCATTGTCTCTATGCTGTGACTTTTCCCCTTGACCTCCTTCTGAAACTGTTCCCTTGAAGGTCACTATAGTGTTTTAATCAACAAACCCAACTGCCTTTTTGAGGCCTCAGCCTCCTAAGCTCTACACATTTGACACTTTTGACCACTTCCTTTTTCTTGTAGAATCACCCTTCTACTTAGGCTTCTGACAGTCATCATCTAGAAAGATTGCTCCCAATCTCCACCATGGTTCTTCCCAGTGGTTTGAGATAAGGCTGTATTGTCTTAATTCTACATATTTGCCTTTGGTGAACGCATCTCCTTAGACCTCAGCTCTTACTTCTTTGCTCAGGAGTCTAAGCAGATCCCTGCATCTCCCCCTCACTCCTTTATCTTCAAACTCATGTCCCAAACCTGCCCTCACTATATGACTTTCCTCTTTCTGTTAAGGAACTCCTGTCCTCAGAGGATCAAGTCTCTACAGTCCTCCCTGAGTACACGTAATGCTCACCGTCTTATTCGGTGGGTACAATATGTGGATTCTTCCTTGAGATAACTGTGCTCACCTTATCTCTACTACCTACACAGTATTACCTCCCATACAGATAAACTACAATAGTCCCCAACTGATTACCCTGTCCCTTGAGTCACTGTCCTGTAAGCTCCCTCTGTCCTGGCCCCCTTTAATAAATGCCTCCCATTGCCTACAAGGAAAAAGAGAAAGCTTAAGTTCTTTAGTTTTTTGGCACAAATAGTCTTCAAGTCAGATTTCTAGACTTTCCTCAACATTTCCACTTTCTTACTTTTTAAGAGATTTTCTACAAA